TAACCCCTCTGTACAGTATGTTCACAAATAAAATAAAATAAAATTTAAAAAAAAAAAAAAGAAAAACTTTCAAGAGTCAGGTGACCTTAAGGACCAGGATTTGGATAAAATCCTTCTAATTGCAGGACTTGGACATTTAACATTTATCTCTATAGGCGTGTGGCACAGTAGAAACTATAACAGATGAGAACTCACCCTCTCAAAGATCCCTGTGGCCACTCTAGAGTAGAAAGAAGAGATAAGGCCAAATTCCCTTCTCAGGAAAGTTCCAACATTCTTTGAAGTTGAAGTTGCTCCTCTGTTTTCACAGGTCCCTCTTCATCTGAGAACTTGACACTTTGCTCCAGAATGGGCTAAAGGCTCCACTACCCGCAACTCTAGCTTCACCTATCTTTTTCTTAAATCACTGCAGCCCAGCACTTAGCCTGGAATTGACACACTCTGAAATCAGAGAAGGGAAGCCCATAACATAAGCTCAACCCTGCTCCTTGCTTGCTTCTAGTGAGGCAAATACTTAGTGTTTTGAAGTCCAGCCAAGAAGATTTGCAATGATGCTGAGAAATCTGTGCTTCTGAAATCAAAATGCTAGAAGGCACAGGCCAAAAATATCCACCATTCACTTAACTCATCTTCCAGCTTATTTGGGGAGATGCTAAAGGAACATGTGAAAAGAACAAAGTGTCTATTGCTCCCCTGCTCGTGCACTCTGGGCTAGCTCTGCCTGGCCCGCAGGAAGTGAGTCATATACAAGACACACCAACAACCCAAGGTTAAAACTTCATCAAATTTCTTATTCTCTAGTGAGAAAGACAGCTGAGAAATAGAAAGAGTGAAGACATCTGTGTTTTAGGACAGTGGATAGGGAAAAGAAGTTTTTTGTTTTTTTGTCTTTCATGTATTGTTTTTTTTTATTGTAAAGATACTATACAGAGGGTTACAGTTACATGAGTGCGGTAATGAGTACACTTCCTCTTGAACATTGTTACCCCTCCATTGTTGGGAAAAGAAGTTTTTAAAAGCCAAGAAAAAATAAACAGCTCGGTGCCACTGGCTCACACCTGTAATCCTAGCTACTCAGGGGGTTGAGATCTGAGGATTGTGGTTCAAAGTCAGCCTGGGTAAGAAAGTCTGTAAGATTCTTATCTCCAATTAATCACAGAAAAAGCTGAATGTGGCAGAGCACTAGCCTTGAGCAAAAAGGAGCTTAGGGACAGTGCCCAGGCCCAGAGTTCAAGCAAAAGAAATAAATAAACATAAAAAGGTAGAAAACACACTGTCCTGTCCTGCCGGTGAAGAGACAGACATGTCAAGTTTCTCCAGGGAGCACCAGCAATGGGCCACTTTTGCTCGAATATGGTATCTTTTAGATGGGAAAATGCAGCCTCCTGGCAAACTGGGTACTGTAGCATAAGTAAACCTTCAGGGATTACCTAAACCTATGCCATCAACTGAGTGACTGTGGAGACCATGTTGTCATAATGACCACAAAGCATACTGCATTTTCTGGAAACAAATGAGAACAAAAAGTATATTCCTCTTATACTGGCTACTCTGGTGGATTTAAACAAGTAACAGCTGCTCAGCTTCACCAGAGGGCTCCAGTGGCAATTGTGAAATTGGCTATTTATGGCATGCTGCCAAAAAACCTTCACAGGAGAACAATGATGCAAAGGCTACCTCTTTTCCCAGATGAGGATATTCCAGAAGCTATTCTTTTTTTGATGTTTTTAAAAATATATTTATTGAACTATAAATGTACATTCAGTAAAATTCTGTTAGGACTTGATAAATGCAGTCATTCAAACCCACCAGTCATGTTGCAAATTCATTTTTAAAAAATCCTTTATACTCCCTTGCAATCAACTTGTCCATCAATAAAGGGGTGAAGAAGTCAAATCTGTTTTGGATAACTTGTCTTCAGGATCTTCAATTCTTTTAAGCACCAAGACCAAAGAGGGCTGCGCGGTCGAAAGGGGGCCAGAAGCTATTCTTAAGAATTTAGTGGAAGAGCTTCCTCAGCCATGGAAAGTGCCCAAATAACTGGATAAATATACCCAGGAAGAAATAGAAGCTTTCCCAAGAGTGTGGTCTCCACCTGAAGATTACTGGCTGTAGGAGAGTGGCAATTACAGAGGTGGTTAAGCTGCTTCTTGAAGTTTCTCTGACTTAGGGCAAGGCTGGAACAAGGTGGGCACCAGGATGAAGCCCACCAAGGAAGGGCTGGTCCTTCTTTGGGAAATTGCAATAAAATGCATTATTTTATTTAATCTGATTTAAATGTCATAAATGAGGATAATAAAATTGCCTATTTGGTTAACTAAAATAAAATTTTAAAAACAGGTAGAAAAATGTTAGGAAGAAAGGAGTAGAGAAAAAATTAATACTTTTCTGGCCAAGGACGAAACAAATCTAATATAAATATAGTAACCTCTCAGTTCTCAGCTGGATATGGTGGTACCTGCTTATAATCATAACACTGAAAAGCAGAGGTAGGAGAATCATGAATATGAGGCCAGACAAGGCTATATTGTAACCTTGTCTCAAACCAACAAAAAATAACCTTCTAAGACATTTTTAAAGGAAATTTCTTCCCATATTCCTTTATTTCCCCTTCCTCCACTTCTTCTGCTTCCTATTTCTGTTCCTCTTCTCATTACCACAAGTCCTAAGAACTTCTTCTTCTTCTTTTCTTTTGGGGGGGGGGGCCCGTTGTGGGTCCTGAACTCTGGGCCTGGGAGCTGTCCCTCAGCTCTTCAGCTCAAGGCTAGCGCTCTACCACTTGAGCCACACTCGCCACTTCCAGCTTTTTTCTTTTTGCTTATGTGGTGCTAAGGAATCGAACCCAGGGCCTCATGCATGCAAGGCAAGCACTCTACCACTGAGCCACCTTCCCAGCCCCAAGTCCTAAGAACTTCTAACCAATGAGAAGTAAATGACTGGCTCAGGGTAAGGGAGAGTTTGAAGAGTTTGCTATAATCATATTTGAATTCTAAAGAAAACAGTTGTGGGGCAGAGCTAATGGTGTCCCCATCCTGTCTGTACCAATAAAACAATGGAGATGATTTGGCATTGGGTGCCTTTTTAAAAGTTATTTACTTGCTTTTATTATTTTTTTTTGACGGTCCTGGGGCTTGAACTCAGGGCCTGAGCTTTGTCCTGAATCTTTTTGTGCTCAAGGTTAGATCTTTGCCACTTGAGCCACAGTGCTACTTCTGGCTCTTTCTGTTAATGTGGTACTAAGGAATCAAACCCATGGCTTCATGCATGCTAGGCAAGCACTCTACCACTAAGCCACATTCCCAGCCCTGCTTTTATTATTTTTAAGTAGGTACACAAAGGGATTTTAATTCAACATGTAAGTGTGTGAGTTTAAAGCATCTTGATCATTGTTACCACTGAAGAGGCCAAAAGTGTCAGTCATTACCAAACAAGAGTCACCATCATTATAAACCTGCAGCCCTGTCCTTCTCATTGCTCCAAACACTAAGGCTACAATGTAGCAGATGTGGATATTGACAATTTTTATTTGGTGCACACCAAAAAAGAATCCAAACACAAGCTATTAATTGATTAAGCCATATTTCTCTGTCTATTTTAAGAGGCCACTGTAAAGGGGCTGAGGGTTGGTGTGCTCCTCTGTTAGAATTCTCAACCCTTAAATTTTAAGCACAAAAGTATTTGAAGTAGAATCAACCAAATTCATAAAAACACCAGCCTTGAATGAATATGATTTACTCTATTTTCCTCTTATCATTAACATTCTAGTTACTAGTGAGTTGTTCTCCATCCTATGGACCCCATATTGGGAGAAGTCTGGGGTCCCATATCATGAAGCATTTAACAATAGAACAGAAACACAGCTGCCTCACTTATTGCCAGGCTATTGCTCCAACTAGTATGAGTTCCATATCCAGCCCAATCAAAAGCAGAGAAGTTTCCACACTGCCTAGGAGTGCCCTCCACCGCCGATACAGTGCTGGAACATAGGGAGAAGAGGAAGTGGTTATTAAAAATCTGCTGGTGTTACGATTTTGATATAAAGAATCCTTCCTTCACCTCCCCCAACAAAAAAAGATATTCATATATTGAACACAGTTCCCCCATTCAAACAGTGTTCATACGTGAGGAGGAGTCATTGGATCATGAGGGCTCTGCTTTCATTAATGGGTCGATCCACTGGTACATTCACAATTTACATCAAGTCTTGGAGGTGGGTGGAACTATGGAAGTTGGAAGTTATTTATTGGGGGCATGTGTTAAAAGGTATGTTGCCCTAGCCTGTTCCTGACTGCCTCTTCTCTGATTCATAGACTCCATGAGAGTGTAATTTTGCTCTCCCATGATCTTCCTCCATGATGTTTCAGCTTTGCTAAGGGCCTAAAAGCAAAAGTATCTCCCTACCATGAACTATAATCATAAATCAAATAAATTCTTTCTTAGTTAAGCTGGGTGTTCTTTGGAGGTGGGGCGGGTGTTATTCCATTGATGAAAAGCTGATTAATACAGCTGGTGGCCCAGAGACATTATATGTTCAAATCCAGGCCTTAAGTTTTGCACTAGAACCAGAACATACATACATACATACATACATACATACGTACGTACATAGGTACATACATACATACATACATAAACATAGAGAGAGAGAGAGGAGAGAGAGAGATGGGTAACTCATGCTTATAAACTTAGGTACTCAAGAGTCTGAGATCTGAGGATCATGCTTCAAAACCAGCCCTGTCAAGAAAGCCACAAGACTCTTATCTTAATTAACCACCAAAAAAGCTAGGAGTGGAACTATGGATAAAGTGGTAGAGTGCTAGCCTTGAGCAGAAAATAACTCAGAGATAACACCCTGACCTTGATTTCAAGCCCCAAGACTGACCAAAAGAAAAAGTAAGTCTTTTCTTAATCCATCTCCTGTTAAGATCTCTAGCATCAGCTCCTGTCCCTACTCCATACATATATATCCCATGCACCAAAACTGAAAAAACAGCTCACTGCTTGTTCATGACTGCATGTGCTCTGGAATACTCAATGTAGATTGTTCTGATACCTCATAAACATCTGTCCAACCTTAGACTCCATCTCAGAAGTTACCTTTACCTTTCTTACAGTCACTGCCCTGACACCTTGAGCAGATTTAAGTGCTCTCATAAATTCTACTTATTTTTAGATGGTTTTTTTTCTGGTTAGTCATGGGGTTTGAACTCAGGGCCTGCGTGATGTCCTTGAGATCTTTTGCTCAAGGCTAGTGTTCTATCACTTTGAGCTACATCTCCACTTCTGGTTTTCTGGTGGTTAATTGGACATAAGTTTCTCACAGATGGGGCTGGGAAGGTGGCCCAGTGGTAGAGCACTTGTCTTGCATGACTGAGGCCCTGGGTTTGATTCCTCAGCACCACATAAGCAAAAAGAAAACAAGCCAGATGGCACTGTGGCTCAAGTGGTAGAGTGTTAGCCTTGAGCTGAAGAGCTGAGGCACAGCGCCCAGGCCCAGAGTTCAGGCCCCATGGCCAGACCAAAAAAAAAAAGAATCTCACAGACTTCCTTGCCTGGGCTGGCTTTCAAGTGATCCTCAGATCTCAGCTCCCTGATTAGCTAGGATTATAGGTGTGGACTACCAATGCCCAGCTTTTAGTTTTGTTTTGTTTTATTTGTTTTGTTTGTACTACTAAGGGTCCAAATGAAGGGTTTCCTGCATGCAAGGCAAGTGTTCCACCATAAAGCTATCCCTTACTCCCTCATTTATGTTTCTATTGAACCTGACATACATCAGATAATAATTAGGACTTTGTATAAATGTCTGTCTTGATAGATGCTCCGTGTCTCCTGAACCTCTGCACTCGTACAATGTAGGTTCTCACTGAAGACTTCACTGGGAGTAAACAGGTGCACACTGGCCCATGCACTCTTACTAGTACACATTCCTTAGGCCACAGAAAAAAAAATGGCATAGGAGCCAGGTCCTAAGGGTCCCAATACTCATCATTTCCCATCACAGTCCTAGGATCTCCACTGAAAAGCTGCCTTGTGCTGATAGGGATGGCTAGGTAATGAAGGAGAAATCTCAGGGTCTGCTTGTAGCATTTCAGAAGCCTTTTTGCACTATGATTTGAGGGAGGGCTCTGTCACAAGACAGCATGCTTACTCTTGATAGTATTCATTCTGGGGAGAACAAGGAGTACAATCTCATCCTGCCTTTGGCCATTACTCCTCCCGATGAGACTAGAAGGAGAGTGTTATAATGATGCCAGATTTAAGGAGACATGAATGCTGCTTCAGATAAGAGCCAAGTATGCCTTCCCTGGCAATCAGGCCACAAAGCAGTCTACAACCACAGAAAGTGCTGTGATGCAGGGAGCAGGGGGTGGGGAGTGCAAAGGGACGTAGTCAGGTCTAGCAAATGTCCAAGACTCTTCTAGTAAAATCTTGAGTACAGTGTACATCTATGCATGCCCTGATAGGGCTGGATAAGAAGGCTAAACATTGGAAGTGGCACTAAACTCAAGTGGTAGAGCATTGGCCGTGAGCTGAAGAGCTGGGGGACAGCACCCAGGACCAGAGTTCAAGCCCCACAACCTACAAAAAGGAAAGAAAGCAAGAAAGAAAGTTAGACATCAGAGCTGGGTGCTGGTGGCTCACACCTATAATCCTAGCTAGGCTCACACCTATAATCCTAGGAGGCTGAGATCTGAGGATCACAGTTCAAAGCCAGCCCGGGCAGGACAGACCATGAGACTCCTATCTCCAATAAACTTCTAGAAAACCAGAAGTGGTGCTGTAGCTCAAGTGGTAGAGCGCTCGCCTTGAGCTGAAGAGCTGAGGGACAGCGCCCAAGCCCAGAGTTCAAGCCCCACGACTGGCCAAAAAAAAAAAGAAAAGAAATGTAAGTTAGACATCAGGTGAAGAGATATAATGGCTATATTTTGAGCTTTCTCAGCCCCCAAAAGACTTTGAGAGACATTTACTGAACACAAGCCTTGCCCTAACTACAGAGAGTGAATGTTTTATTCCCAAAGGCTGAGCAGACAGCATTTGAAACCTCAACTCTAGACTTTGGTCCTCAATAGTACAGTTCTCTCAGCATAGACAGAAGGTCCCATAGGTCTCATCCCTACCCCAACAAGGAGCAGGTTTACACTCCTGAATATACACACATTCACACTCACAACCCACACTCAGCATGTGCACATGTACACACACAAACTCAACTTTACGCACAGGCCCTTACCAGACTCACATGCTCACTGTTACATCCAGCAACTCTCATTCCAGGACACAAGGCATTGGCTGCTCTCTCATTATTAAATACTCTGAACTGGACAAATCCCACAGTAAATTCACCTAAAAACAAGTGACAGAAAACATTAGTTAACAAAAATGTTAGAAATAACTTCCTTGGAACCAGCTCAGAGATTTCAACATTCAGGTATACTAATAGAGCCCAGCACCACTGTAAATAATGCCTGGAGTCTCTCAGTCAAATGTTGGCTATGAAGGGTCTTTTCCAAACTCAGGAGCACATTAGCTGATCTTCAGAGATCACCCCTGGACTGCCAGATGCTTGTATGGAGAAATTCCACAATACACTGAGATCACCACTGAATACATCCAGGAAGTTGTACTAATTAGCAAACCTGTTCACACAGTTCAGATTCTCCATAATTTTAAAGTCTCAAATCCCAAATATAACTAATAAATGCTCTGAATGGTAAATCACAGGCTCAGCCTCTATGAAGGATAAGTTGCCAAACTTAGACTTGCACTAAACAAACTAATAATTAGTCCTCACAATGGACATAAAACTTTCCTGTCCTTTTGTCTCTGGTTCTGCCCTGTGCACATGACTCTGGCTTGGTCCTATCAAGGTACTAAGGGTTTGTTAATGGGACTCCTAGGAGTAATTCTGGAGCAAATGTCCCCAGTTCAAATGCTAACTCTCCTACCTATGCCTTCAGACAGTTCCTGACCTTCAGTGTTCCAGTTTCCTACGCTAAACATCAAGGGTAGCAGTGCAAATTAATGGAGACCATACATACAATGTTTATAGAAAAGAACCAGGCTGCAGGAAGTGAAAACTATCTATCATAACTTCTGTTAGTTTCCTGTGAAGAGGTCAGAAGAACTTTAAGGACTTATCTGTCTACGGGGTGAATAATAAGATGCTGTTTTCTGGACATTCCCAAAATCATAGACCACAAGTATTGCTGGACCATTGTCAGTCCAACACCTCCCTCCTCCATATTTCACTGGGAATCTCTACAAAGAATAGAAGAAGTCATTGACTAAGGAAAATAGCTTTTTTTTTTTTAGTTGTGGGTCTGGAACTCAGGGCCTGGGCGCTGTCCCTAAGCTCTTTTACTCAAGGCTAGTGTTCTACCACTTTGAGCCACAGACCCACTTTCCATTTTTCTGTTAGTTAATTGGAGTCTCATGGACTTTCCTGCCTGGGCTGGCTTTAAACCTCAATCCCCAGATCTCAACCTCCTGAGTAGCTAGGATTACAGGCCGGAGACACCAGTGGCCAGCCAGGAAAATAGCCTTGACTCTTCCAGGAATGCTGCTGTCTATAAAGGGGGAAAGTTGCTGTCTCAGCAACTGAGATTACTTCAAAACCAGACAAATAGCCAGTTGCTCATGCCTAAAATCCTAGCTACTCAGAAGACTGTTATTTAAGGATAGCAATTCAAACCAGCCCTGCCAGAATAGTTTGTGAGACTCTTATCTCTAATTAATTAACAAAAAAAAAAAAAACAGAAGTGGAGCTGTGGCTCAACTGATAGAGTACCAGCTTTGAGTAGAAAAAAAGCTAAGAGACAGCATCCAGGCCCTGAGACAGGCCCCAATCCTGGCAATAAAAAAGAAGAAAAACAAGAATCTTTTCCTTTTGCTATATGTCTTCAACACCATAGTCAGTTTCTATATTTATCTTTTCTCTTTCTCCCAATTTTCTCTCTCCCACTCTTGGTCCCAAGCTCAGAATTCCTGAGAGAAGCAGAAGAGAAGCAAATTCATTAGAAAAAAACAATGCATAGAAGAATGGCTCCTGGACAACCTCAAACACCTGCTTCTCTCTACACCCATGAAAACCAGACCCAGAGAACATCCTCATGTACCTGGTAGAGTCCAAACAGATTGTGTCCCAGATGCTGGAAGAATCCAGTGAAGGTGCAGTACCTCAGCAGGGAGCTGTTCCTCCAGTTCTGCAGGGGAGTCTTGTTGGGCACATGCCAGATGCCCAGGTCCTGGGCCTGGATGTCAAAGTAGCCAGGGTTCTAGAAAGAAACCAACAGTTATCCCGGCCCAGCCACACAGTCCCACAAGACTACAGGTCCACATGTGCAGCTCTCAGCTGACCTGATAGCTCTGGGTTCCAGGTGGACAGATAGCCAGCTATGTTCATTCACCTCTATTTCCTGCAGACAATAGTACTCTGGCAATACTCAAGTCCTAATGACATTGTTTGGAATAAGCTGAGATTCGAGGCATTCATTTCTCTCTTCTGTTATAACCCTACCTTCCAAAGCCCTCCTCCCAACCCATTCTCCTACATGCTGGTGGCCCAGCCACACTCAAGTCCTCACACTTGTCCAGCTGGGTAGAGGCTCGCACCAACCTTGTAGTCATCGCTTGTGGCTCCCTCTGCAGACCCAAAGAAGGTGTTATAGTTGGCCCAGTTGCCATTTCCCTCTGGGTAGTCTGCTCTGTTGCCCTGCTGACTGGACCAGCAATCACCTGCCATGCACCTCCCAGCCATGAAGTTTTCATGTACACTGGCCACCAGGGTCCAGCCACCGCCCACAGTGGTCATGTCACAGAAGGTCTGGTAGATGACTCTATTGTTGGTGTGGAGGAAGTACAGGCCCTCTGTGGAGAGAGCCAGTCCAGAGCCTCCCTGTCTGTGGATTCCTGGTCCATCTCATCTCCAAATCAGAACACATCTGGTAACTAGAAACATGGCCTAATGTCTCCTCTCTTGAATCCTATAACTTTGTTCCTGAGGTACTAGAATCTCCTTCAATCTAGAAGACCATGCTTCTGAGATTGTGATAGGACATAGGATTATCCAAATTCACAGTGGTAGTTTTCATAAAGTTAAACCCAGTTCTCAGATATCCAAACAATTCTACTCCTACCCAAAAGAATTGAAAGCAGAGATTTAGATTCACTAATATTTATTGCACTATTAGTCACAGGACCAAAAGGCAGAAACAAGTATTCCTCATCAGATGAATGGATAAACAAAGTATCCTGCATGTATAGAATATATAATACATATCACATATACTCATAAAATATTTAGATAAACAAGCAATGAATAAAAGAGAATTAATTATCCATGCTACAAGATGTGGAAACTAAAATAAGTATCCTAAGTGAAATACAGTAGACACAAAAATCCAAGTATCTTTGATTCTACTTATCTGAGGTAAGTAAAAGAGACAAATTAATGAAGACCATAAATTGAATGACAGTGACCAAGGACTAGAGGAAGGGAAAACATGAATTTATCACTTATTGACTATGGAGTTTCCATTTGGAGATACAAAAAAAAAATTCCTGAAGATGATGGTGATAGTTGATCACAACATTGTGAAAGTAATTCATGCAAAAAATTCATACACTTAGCCGGGCACCGGTGGCTCATGCCTGTAATCCTAGCTACTGAGGAGGCTGAGATCTGAGGATCATGGTTCAAAGCCAGCCCGGGCAGCAAAGTCCATGAAACTCTTATCTCCAATAAAACACTAGAAAACCAGAAGTGGCGTTGTGGCTCAAGCAGTAGAGTGCTTGCCTTGAGCTGAAGAGCTGAGGGACAGCGCCCAGGCCCAGAGTTCAAGCCCCACAACCGACAAAAAAAAAAAAAATCCAAGCCGGGCGCTGGTGGCTCACTCCTGTAATCCTAGCTACTCAGGAGGCTGAGATCTGAGGATCGCAGTTCAAAGCCAGCCCGGGCAGGAGAGAC